ATGTGAGCAGGTTTGGGTTACTTTTGAAATGCTACAATCACTAGTTACATGATAAAATATTGAATCAGGATCCTAAACTAAATATCACAATATAAACACATATATTTGTTGACCAGTGAAGAAGAAACCAGGTATATTTAGTAACAAAAATGTTTCAAGGTTCAAGGCTTTTATTGGTCATACCAACATGGCTACAGTACAGTGTAGTTATGACGATTAAAATCTTAGGTCACAGGCTCCTCCAACAGTGCAACACAATGAAACAGATACACAGACAAATATAGTGCAAGTAAATAAAAAAATAAAAAAAGTGGAATAGTGCAATCAAAGTCTATATACAAGTTATAGGAATATGATATATTAGATAAATAATTTCTAAGTTGCAGCCAGATGAATGTTGTGGATGTTCTTTCAAAGTTCAGGTTTTTAATAGTCTTATGGCCTGTGGGATGAAGCTGTCGCTGAGTCTGGTGGTTTTAGTCCGGATGCTGCGGCACTGCCTGCCAGACAGTAGCAGACTGAACAGTTTGAGGCTGGGGTGATGGGGGTCTCTGATAATCCTGAGGGCTTTCTTCCTGAGCCGCTGGGAGTAAACGTCCTCCATGGATGGCAGCTCCGTCCTGGTGATGTGCTGTGCAGTGTTCACCATCTTAAATGATTAGCTAACCCTACAGAAGAATATATTTATATTTCGTGGTCTAGTGCAAGATCAGTACAGCAAAGAAAATTGTGTTGATTTCATATATTTTGTTGTGTTTTCGCCCACTTGTAACTATGGTAAACAGTTTTGTTATACAAATAATACATTTTTCAAACACCTCTGTATTGTACGAACATATTCTCAAAAGGCAACAGGTCAAAAAAGGCTTTAAAACTGAAATGTCTAATGCTCAAACTTGTACACCATAGGAGCAGTGTTTCAATGAACTAACCTCAGCATATAGCTATGAGCTAACCGCTTAGCTATTTACGCTAGTTCTTAATTTCCTTCATTAATCTACATGTGTATTTCCAGCCATGAAATAGGCTATTACTTCATACTGGGATGTTTCGGTACAAATAGCATAAACCTTTCAGTTTTAATAAATATGTGTTGCTTTTTGAGTGTGACAGAATTTGACAGAATAATTACAAATTCTACAAAATAACATCCTTATTTACAAGATTGTGTGTCTTTGTTCCCGTGTGTGTGTCACAGCTAACAGAGCGCCGAACGCAGCAGCCAGCAGCTCTCAGACAGGAGACGCCTTAGGGAAAGCACTCGCATCTGTAAGTGAAACACACCAACACGCATGTAAACATAGGCCTAAATACACATGTCAAATATCAGCCGAATGACACGTGTCAACTACTTGTTCAGTAAGTCATAAATGCAACATGGCTTTTTAATGTTTCTCCATTTTAAAACTATTGCATTTTGTCTTTTTAATATTTGTTTTGCCTTTCAGAGTTGCAGACTCTTTTGAAACGTTTTGTTGTGTTTTCAGATCTACTCTCCGGACCACACGAACAACAGCTACTCGTCCAATCCCTCCACACCAGTCGGCTCCCCGCCCTCCCTCACAGGTATCACATCACACTCACAGTCCTCCTCACAGTCTTAAATTTGTTTTACTGACTTTACACTTCACTTGGACTTGTTTCCAATTGCGTGAGACGTGACTTGAACTTGTTGCAAACGACTTTTTACATGAGTTGATCTTGTTTAGGATGATTTTCAACTTACATGGACATTGTTTCGAGTGACTTGAACTCGTCACAAATGACTTAGACTGACACTTGTTTGAAATGACTTGAGGCTTTAATGGAAATTGTTTGAAATGACCAGCGACAAGACTTACATTTGTTTCAAATGACTTGTGAATGCAACCTACGTTAGAAGTTGTTTTTAAATGACTTGAGACTTACAATGAAATTGTTTCAAATGAGAAAAGCAAAAAAACTTACAATGTGTTTCTATTGACTTGAAACTTGACTTGAACTTGTTTCAAAAGACTGGAAACTAAAGTTTAACATGTTCAAATGATTTTATTCTTGATATGACCCTAATTCAATTGACTTAAATACAGCTCTGGGAAGTAGAAGTGTAAGAAATGGGAGTAAAACATATAAACCGACTAAAAACAACACATTTACCTAAAGCTCTTCATTTGTTTGTAATAAATTAAAGGCATCTCTGCTTCTTAAGTGTAATCACTTGGGCGTAAAACAGGACCATAAAAACTCATTCATAATCCCTGTGTGTCCTTTACCCCCCCCCCCCACACACACACTCCCCCTGCTCCTCTTATTTCAACAAATTAGGCTGGTGTTGTAAACTCTCCCCGCTCCTTAAAGTGAAAAATGACTTTTCCTAATAATAGTTGTGTCGAATTTGTCTCTAATTGACGCTGCGACACACACCGTTTGATATTTCCACGCCTGGTGACTGATAGCTTTAATTACGAGCACCACTCAGACAAATCGTTCACAAACCTACCGGCTCCCAGAACACCAGCCCCCCCCCCCCCCTCTCTTCCTCCTCCTCCTCCTCGTCATTATAGCTGCCTCGGATATTGCCTGTGAAACCATAATTGGTGTTTATCATTGTGTCAGAGTTACTCCACTTTTTACAAATTAGAAATGAAGCCTATTAGAGCAAACTACATGCAAATTGATATACAAGGCTAATTCTACCAGGGTGTTTTACAGGGTTGGACTTGGAATAATTTACCCTGCCGTTTAATACATATATTTGTATTTGCACATGAATGTACCCAGGTGATTACTCATTAATTAGCATATGGAAATGAGCATGTAATATGAATGGAGAGAATAGACTGCGAGACAAAATGGGAAGACAATTAGAAAAAAGGGGGAGAAACACAAGCTAATGAGATGAGATCAGAGTTACAAAGGAGGGATCAGTGGTGGGGGCACAGAGGAGGTGAGATGGGGAGTAAGGAGGGGAAACTAAGGTAGGAAGGAGGAGACGGAAGAATTAGAAAGATAGGGATAAAGAAAGAAGAGGAAATGAAGGGTAGGAAAACGATGCAGAAATAGGAAGGACTCAACTATGTTGAAAGGCAAAGGAAAGACAAGGAGATTCAGGTAAATAAAATAAGAGCCAAGTCATTGTGATATGATGACGGAGGAAGAGTAAAGATTAGGGGTGCACCGAATGGGAAATTCTTGGCCGAAACCGATACCGAAAATAGGAAACAGTTGGCCGAAAACCGAATGCCGAAAGGCCGAAAATGATTAATAGAAATATATATATATATATATAATGTATACATTTTTTACCAATGTTGTTCAGCTACCTGATTATGGAAAAATAAATGATTATGGCAAAACTTAACTTAAATAATAATCACTATTATGGGTCCATAAAACATTTATTCATCACTTTTGAATGCATACTGTACATTCATTCCAAGTCAAGTGCATTTTCTTTTCTCTGTAGGATAACTACAACAAAGTGCATTCAGAACAAAGCCAAGGTGCTTTAAAATAAACATCTAGGCCAGTAGGCCTACAACAAAATAGTGTAAATAAAGACTGTAACAGCCAGGCCTTCAACAACAAAGAATGCACCTATAAGTGCATGTATACAAATGTGCAAACTGGATAAATCCACATGAATGTAACTATTTACAAATGAAATTACAATTCAATTTCAAGAATCTGTAAATAAGGCTGTCTGTCCTCATAAGCAAAGTAGTAAACATTGTATAAACATACATAAAGTGAAAACTGGATACAAAATCCACAATCAATTGCAAATTAAATTACAAATTTCAAGAAATCTGCAAATAAGGTGG